CTTGCCTCTTGTGGTCATTTTTGTCTTAAAGCCTATTTTATCAGAAATTATTATTGCCACTCCTGTCCCTTTTTTGGTTGCCATTTGTTTGATATATCTTTTTCCAACCTTTGATTTTTATTCTATTTTTGTCTTTGTGTCTAAGGTGAGTCTCTTATAGACAGCGTATTGATGGGTCACATTTTCTTACCTAGCTTGCAACTTTCTGTCTATTGAGTGGTGCACTTAATCTATTTACATTCAATGTAATTATTGATAAGTATGAATTTGTTGCTGTCATTTTGTTATGTGTTTTTTCATGGTGTTGCTGATTTCTTTGTTTCATATAATTTTCTGTGCTGTGCTCATTTTGTTTATGAATTTTACATGTTTATTAATACATTTTGTGTTATCATTTCCTTCATTGATATTGTTTTATGCACTGCCATTGAGTCAGATCCAACTCATAGCGACCCCTCCTTGGGTTTCTGAGTTGGTATCACTATGCAAGTAGATTGCTCAGCCTTCCTTCCAAGGAGTGGCTGGTGGGTTTGAACTGCCAGCCTCCTGGTTAGTAGTCAAATGCCTTAGGCACTATGCCACCTGAGCTCCTGCTACTATGTTAGTATTTGCTAAATATTTTTGCTTGAACTCTTTTATTTTGATATGAAGATTTATTATTTTTCTTTTAGGTTATCTTGTGATTTATTATTTCCCAAGTTTAAAATAGTCTGTTCTATCTCACAATTGTCTTGACTTCCTCACCATTTAGAAGTTCTGTAACTACACTGTTTATTCCCCCTTTTTGGTTTGTAGATGTCCTCATTTATCAATTGATGTCTCTGGTTCCCTGTACTTTGGATATTTCTATAACTGGGTTGATTTCTGGGTTATGTCATCATGTGTGTTAATCATCAATTGTTATTTACTATTGCTAGTTCTCTGTCCGAAGGACTCTCTTCAGCATCTCTTGTAAGGTTAGTCACTCTCTTAATTTTTGCTTATCTGGAAGTGTCCTAATTTCACCCTCATATTTGAAGGACAATTTTTCTGGGTATATAATTCTTGGTTGGAAATTTTTTTCTTTCAAGGTTTTTTATATATCATCCTATTGCCTTCTTGCCTGCATAGCTTCTTCTAAGAAATCAGAGCTTAGTCTTATTGGTTGCCCCTTATAGTAACTTTTTGTTTTCCCCATGCTGCTTTCAGGATTCTTTCTTTGTCTTTGAGTTTCATGATGAAAGCTTGGTGATTTTCTTTTGGAGGATCTCTTCTGTTTGGGCTTCATTGAACTTCTTGAATGGATATATTTTCTTCTTTCATCTTATTAGTGAAATTTTCTTCCAGCAAATCTTTAACAATTTTCTCTGTGGTTTTATCTGCCTCTTCTTATTCTGGAATCCTGATTACATGTAGGTTATTCCTCTTGATGGTATCTCACATGAATCAGTTAGTACTAATGTTACTCAAATTTACACACAAACAACTAAAGCCAAAGATGAAGAAATTGAAGTTTTCACCAACTTCTGCAGTCTGAAATTGACCAAACATGCAATCAAATGTGTTGATTATTACTGGTGATTAGAATGTGAAAGTTGGAAATGAATAATCATTGGTATTTAGAAAATATGACCTTGGTGATAGAAATGATGCCAGAGATCACATGATAGAATTTTACAAGACCATAGGGTCTCCTGCATGGAAAGCAAGAACTCTACCACTGTACTGTTGAACCGTTGAACTCTCTCTCTCCCTCTCTCTCTCCCTCTCTCTCTCTCTTTATATCTATCTATCTATCTATATATATATCTTGTTGTTTTCATAAAACACCAAATGTTAACAGCAGTTATTTCAGAGTGATAGGATGTATATATACATTTTTATATTTTCTGTATTATTTTAAACATGACTCAGCACAGAACTCCACTCTTTTTGGAAGCCATCCCAGCTTCCCCAGGATGGCTTGGGTCCTTCCTGAGTCCCTTCCTAGTACAGGGCACACATTTCAATTGTTGCAGTTATCCAGCAGTCCTCTAACTTCTTAAAGAGAAGACTATTGTGTATTCATCTTTGTACTCTGGTACGTAGTGAAAGGCTTCACATGACTGACAATCACTTTTGCTGAAGAAATTTAAATCAGGAAAGATATATTTTTTGCTAAGTTCAAGCAGTTGCTAAGTTCAAACATCTGCTGGTTTTCTCAGCATTGAATGCTAATAAAGCATTTGGTTTGGCTTTTCACTTTCTGAGCAGTTTTGGCATTTTTTATCGATCAAATCAGTAATAAAGTTGATCATTGGAATTTAAGAAATGTATGTACAGTCATGCACTGCAGAATATCCTTTCAAGCAACATCTAACCACATACACATCCATGAGCCTATAAAGTTATAATAGAATTCAGAAATCCTGATTGGAGAATGGGTAGCAAACCTAACTAGATGTAGTGAATGAATGCAACAGCTTCCTACACAGAACACCTATATCTCATGTCTTTTGTATACAAAGTAGTTGTACTAGCAGAGATATAGTGGTATAGTATATAAACCAAAGAACAAAACCCATTGCTGTATGTTGATTCCAACCCATAGCAACCCTATAGGACAGCGTAGAACTGCCCTATATTGTGCATCTCTTGAGTGTTGTAGTGTTATCTTTGTTTAATTTTCTTTTGAAAATATTATCATCATAACTCCCAAATGCAACCAGTGCTAGTGATAGCAGAAGCAAGAAGTAAAGGAGAAACGTGGATTTGGAAGTGAAACAAAAGGTAATTAAACAACATGAAGGTGGAAAATTCAGTGACTGTTACTGCTTAAAATTTAGGCATGTCTGTTTGGTGGAGTAAGGGCCTCTGGTGGCATACTGGGTAAGGCATTTAGCTGCTAACTAGAAGGTTGGCAGTTCAGACCCATCCGCTGCTCCATAGGAGGAAGATGAGGCAATCTACTTCCATAAAGATTTACAGCCTTGGAAACCCAGTGGGGGTCACTATGAGTCAAAATCAACTCTATGGCAATGGGTTTTATTTATTTATTTTTTATTTGGTGATGTAGGAGCTCTGGTGGTAGTGGTTAAGGCTTTTGGCTGCTAACCAAAAGGTTGGTAGTTTGAACTCACCAGCTGCTCCATGCAAGAAGGTTGAGGCAATCTGCTTCCATAAAGGTTTTGCATCCTTGGAAACCTGGTGGGGTTGCTGTGAGTCAGAATCTGCTTAATGGCAGTGAATTTTTGGTTTTTTGGTTTATTTGGTGGAGCAGTGATTAAGGCATTTGGCTGGTAATCACAGGCTGGTGGTTCAAACCCACCAGCTACTCTGTGGAAGAAAGATGAGGCAGTCTGCTTCTGTAAAGATTTACAGCCTTGGAAACCCAAGGGGGATCTCTATGAGTCAGAATTCACATGATGGCAGCAATTTTTTTTTTTTTTTTTTTTTTGGCTTATTTGCTATGTATATAACATGGTGTTTGCATGAAATCCAGATCAAATAACATCATTTCACAGAACATGTCATGGACTTTAAGTGACACATATGTGTATATGCTGGGACTTTTTTTTTTTTTTTTTAACTTTTTATTTTGAAGTAAGGGTTGATTCAAATGCAATTTTAAGAATTAAAAGAGAGATTCCAGGGACCTAATATACAGTTTCCCTTAATAGTAACATTTTACAGATCTATAGAACAATATCACCACTAAGATGTTAACACAGATACCATGAAGATGCAGAACAATTCCATAACCTCAAAAGTTCCTTATAGCTACCCCAATTTCTCTCCTTCCTTCACTCCTCCTTAACTCCTGACAATTTATCTGTTCTCTATTTGTATAATTTTGTTGTATCAAAAATGTTCTATAAATGGAATCATTATGTAAGCTTTTGGGATTGGTTTTTATCACTCAGTATAATTCTCTGGAGATTCATCCAGATTGGATCCTTATTTCATGCATTTGTATTGCTCAGTGGGGTTCCATGGTATGAATGCACCTGTTTGTTTAATGATTCACCTGTTGAAGGACATCAGGGCTGTTTCCATTTTTTTTTTTTTTTGGTTTTTATGAATAACACTGCTATAAATATCCATGTGCAGGTTTTTGTATGAACTTAAGTTTTTATTTCTCTAGGCTGAATTCCCAGGAGTATAATTTATGGGTCATATGGTAGTTGCATGTGTAGTTTTATAAGAAACCACCAAACTTTTTCTCCAGAGTGGCTATACCATTTTACATTCCCACCAGCAATATATGGATAATCCAGTTTGTCTGTAGTCTCATCAGCATTTGATGTTTTCATTACTTTTTACTTTTAGTCATTTTGATAGGTTTGTATTGCTATCTCATTATGGTTTATAATTTGCATTTCCCTAATGGTTAATGATGTTGAATATCTTCTCACAAGCTTATTTGCCATCTGTGTATTTTCTTAGGTGAAATGTTTGTTCATGTCTTTTGCTACATTTTCTAATTGGATTTTTTTAACTGTTTTGACAGTTGTTTATAAATTCCAGATATTAGTCCTTGAATTTGATAAAGTCTAATTTATCAGTTTTTAATTTTATGGGTCATGCTTTTGGTATCAGAATTCTTTACTTGACCCTAGATTTGGAGAGTTTCTCCTATTTTTTTTTTTCCTAAAAGTTTTCTAATTTTACATTTTACCATTTGGTTTATGATCAACCTTGAGTTCATTTTTGTATAAGGTGTGTTGTGTAGGTTGAGATTCAGTTCTGTTTTGCCTGTGGATGTCTTGTAGTACCAGCACCATTTGTTGAAAAGGCTGTCTTGCTGCTACTGAGGTACTTTTGTCAAAAATCAATTGGGCATGTAGTGTGCGTCTATCTCTGGGTACTGTATTCTGTTCCATTGCTCTATGTGGCTGTTCTTCTGCCACTGCCACATGATCTTGATCTTTGTGATCTGGTACTTCTAAAATCTTATTTCCCGAGAAATGTTTGTGCCGAGAGTGGTGGACTTCCTCTGGTGTGGCCTCTCACAGTAATGATGCCCTTTCCTTGCCTTTCAGATCTCTACGTGTATGCCGTCCTTGTGTGCTGTGTTGGGATTCTCAGTGTTCTCCTGTTCACTCTGATTATCATCTGGCAGTCAGTGTTCAGTAAGAAGAAATCCCGAGGTAAGAAAATGGATCCTCATGTCTGGAGTGGGGTCAACATTTGAAGGCCTGGTTCTGAACACAAACAACCACAAACAGGCTGAGGATGCAGGGTAGGGTGTGGGGAGAGAAGTGCATAGTGATTCAGGAGTTATTTATATATTGTTGTTGTTATGGGCCATTGAGTTGGACCCGACTCTTAGCGACCCCTCCTTGGATTGCCGAGTCAGTATCACTATGGAAGTAGATTGCCCAACCTTCCTTCTGAGGAGTGGCTGGTGGGTTTGAACTGCCAGCCTTCTGGTTAGGTACTATGCTACCAGAGCGCCATTTATCTATTACTAGTGGGCAAAGAGGAATGTAGGAGTGAGAAGGTGTCTTCCTCTTGTTATCTGCCATGGAGTCAGCCTCCAACTCATGGTGACTCCAGGCACAATAGAATAAAATATTGCTTGGTCCTGTGCCATATCTATATATTGGACAATCCCTGCTGTAACCAAATGGGTTTTCATAGATGTTATCATTTGGTAATTTTTGGAAATAGATCACCAGGCCTTTCTTCATAGTCTATCTTATTCTGGAAGTTCTGCTGAAATCTGCTCAGCTTCAAAGCAACACAGAAGCCTACACTGACAGATAAGTGTTCACTGTGTATGTGGTGCATTGGGGATAAAACCTGTTTGTCTCATGTGGAAGATAAGATTCTACCACTGAACCATCAATGCCTTGTTTTCCCCTTGTTGTTGTTGTTGTTGTTGTGTGCCGTCGAGTCAGCCCTGACTCATAGCGACCCCTCCTTGGGTTTCCGAGGCAGTATCACTACGGAAGTAGGATTGCCCAA